TGTAAATGAAATATTCTGCGTCACTCTGACATTGTGCATGAAGGCAAAATAGAAAGGATTAATTAACAATAAACTCATTGAGGATTTGTTCTAGAGAATAGAAAAAAAATGTTGCATTGATATAGTAAATCATTTTATATATTTTGATAATAAAAGGCAAATTTTACAACAAATACAACTGAATGAAAAATGACTGAAGCTTTTTATTATTTTTAGTGCCTTTTTTTCACACCAAGCTGCGTTTGATGCACAGCAACACCTTAAGATGCTGCTCCCAGTTTTGACAGCTTTTTTTGTCTTGTCGGTGTATGAAAGCAGACAAATGCACCCAAAATATGAACAGAGCATTCAACATGACCGAAGCATGATGTCACCGAAGCTGGAAACATGAACAGGGCACAAAGGATTGTGGATGCATGTCTTGCTTGTAGAAGAGAGGGATTGTGGGCCGCCTCGGTCCTCCAGGGTTTTCGGAGAGGTGGGACTGACTGTGGAGCACTGCAGCTGAGGTCTTGGCTGCCGGGCAAAGGTTTAGCTGCTGCATAATTAATGAGAAAAGGTAGAAGGAGATGTTTAACCGTAAGCAAAGTGGGAGGGTTAAGATAAACCCAGCATATCTGTGGGATTAATAGGGAGATGTTTTTCCTGCGGTTTGTACAAGCATTCTCACCTAATGTCTGATATAACCATGTATTACCTTTGGCGCAAAACTGAAATTGTGACATTAATTCAAATGTATAGATATTAAATTGGGTCATTTGCTCAACAAATAATAGAAAGGCGAACAATTAACAGCTATTAACTACCTATTAATTTTGCAATTGACAGCATAGGATTTATTTGGTCATAAACTGTTGTTTTTCCATAATATGCAGATGGGGTGATTTTTATTTCCAGAAACAGAATGAGCTTCATTGGCCATGGAAGTTCACATGTACGAGGAATTTGTCTTGGTTTCGCGCTTGCGGTGACATGTAACAGCCGGAAAACAGATAAGAGGACAGAGAAACATAAAATGTTTCACAGTTGTCTTCCAGACAACATAAAATAGTGAATAAAATGCACAGCAGTGTAGTGCGTGGTGCAGTGGTGATACTCACAGTAGTAATTATGCACATTAAATTAGCCTGTGTGATCAGGCTAAATTTGGGACGGCCAACACTCCACCATTTTTAGGGTTACTGTTTTGGCTATTATTCTGCAGGTATTGAAAACATGGTTGGCTGCACATGTTAGTAGGTCTTGCCATCAATTGATTAGTGACATCATAATCATGTGATTCATAGAAAAATCGCCATAGTGACCTGACCCTATTTGGGTCTGACTCAGGATGAGGGATTCCACAGAAAGTCAGGTTTCAGGCAAGTTATTATTTTTTCCATCTTCCAAACTGATTAGATCATAGACACTGTGTTCACCCGAGAATTGATGCAAAGACAGAAATCAGGTGAAGAAAGGGAAGTGCCTGTACTGGCCCTATATTGTCCCACCTTAAAGGCTGCCTTTTCCCTTAAATAGCAGCTGTAGTAGTGTGTCGTATCCTCATGCTCGTGCAAATTACATGGGGCTGTTCCTCCGTACCCACTCAGGTGGGGGGGGAGGGGGGGTTGTGCGTCATGTGACCCCGAAGGTGGCTACTATGATTGTCTTTTTGTCACAGGGACACCTGAGTGTAACAGAATTATAGAACAAAAGAAGAGCAGTGCCGGTGTGTGAGATTTGAGTCACGAATGGATTTTTTGGGGGGAGTGCAACTGACGAATGGCCTGTCCCCAACCTGAGGTGGTATGGGGGGGGGGGGGGGAATTCTGTGCAAATATAATAGGAGCCAATAGCTGGTGTGGTTTGGGACTGGGGGTGGCCAGGGGGTTGTGGGCGGAGTTTCGGGGGGGGGGGGCTCCCATCTTCAAAAGCGTCTTCAATGCCTTATTTAACATGCTAAGTGTGACAGTCTGGAGAAATTTGATTTAGCTGCATTGGGTGGGGGGAGTGATTAAATTAAGCGTGCGCTCCCAGCGATCGGCAGGCCAATAAAGGGGTGTCGCGTTCCCGGTGCCTTTCTGAAGCGCGCGCGGTCCCGGCTTCGCCCCGCGTCTCCCGCGTGACGGCCTGTCTGTCTTAATGAAAGCCGTGCGCGTTCCACGCGCCCGCGGAACAAACGCGCGGTTCTGAATATCTCGCCGACATTGGGCGCCTCGCTGGGTGCCAAGCAGAGTTCAGGGACAGGCAAAGAAAATCAGAGAGCGGCAGCAAAAAGGGGGGGGGGGGTAGAAAAGAGACGGGAGGGAGACAAGAGTGCACATTTTCTCTGTCTTTGATTTCTGCTTTCTGCAGACTTTAAAGTCAGGATTCTCTCCCTCTCCCCATCCGTTCCTCGTCTTATACAGTCTGCCAGAAAATCATGACAGGGTTTTGACATCCTAAAAGTCACTAGCAGACTGCAGGTGCCTGGAGAAGGGAGAAAAATATATGTATATATGGCAGGTTGCTGCTGTTCAAGACAATGGCCAATTTCTTTCGGCAGGGATGGAATCCCCAGCAGTGTCCCAAGATGCCATTAAAAATGTCTCTAGCAGAGGAGAGTCCGCATTAAAGATGGCCGGCCTGCTGCAGATATACACGTTTCTTTTGAGAATTAAGGACACCTTCGCAAAACCGTTATGGGGCGAAATAAATATAGCAGAGTGAAAAGATGTCTCAGAGATAATTTTCCACACCTAGGCAATTTGTCGAAAGCTCCATTCAAACAGCCTGGCCTTGTGAAAGTCAAAGAGATGCTGAATTTTTCATGGCTGTGTCTGGTAACCAGGGGTGCATCCCCACCCCCTCAACACACACACTCACACACACACAGGTTTGTAAATATATCTTTGTGGGGACTCTCCATTTATTTCTATGGATAAATCTCTAATCCCAACGACGACCTTAACCCCTAACCAGCCCTAACCTTAACCATGAGTAACCAAACTAAATACAAGACTTATTACATTAATTATTAGTTTTTTGATTGCATTCACAGATCTTTGTGGGCTGCTGAAATATGGTCCCCACAACATGAAAATAATAGGTTTTTTATTACATCGTGGGGGACATTTGGTCCTCACAATGTAATATTAACCTAATCCACACACACACACACACACACACACACACCATTCTCCTGCTGCTGGTTGCCTGTCACACGCAACTGAATTTAAACCAGAAGCTGTAAACCCCTTCAGGATATCAAATCCACTGACTCTCATTTCTAACTAGGTCAGTGCTTACAATAGCTGCCACCCTCTCTCTCCTTTACTTCATTTGATCTATGCAACAACGTCGAGCACTCGCCTTATATGCAAACATTAGCGTTGCCCATATTTGCAAGTTAAATCGAATGGTTTTCTTTTTGTTATTCTTCCTCTTTATGTATAAAACAGTAAACCACACAATACTTTAAATCCTTGATTTTTTTTTTTTGATATTCTGTTAAAGGAATTTTGTTCCTCCATGCAATAAATAGATGTGCAGAGCGTACAAAACAGGATTTTTTTTTCCTTGTAAAAATTTTTGTCCTTTTTTTCTTTGAAGAGAACAGAGTAGGCAGGTTTTTTCTTCGAAGTCACCTGCCTGGTGTTGCTGTACGTTCTATCGCACTGCCTTTCCATTTTGTGTTTGTTTTGGTTTTGCCTTTAGTTCGACAAGCTGAGTGTGTTACAGAAGCAGACATCGTGCAAAAGGGATAACAGCGATATATTAACCATAGTATCGAGGGACACAAACAAAAGGGCAGCCTTCCCGTCCATCGTTCTTCTCGATTTCATTCAGCGTCTTCCTCCATACTCAGTTATCCTTAAGGTGCCTTCAAAAAAGAACTGCATGAATAATGAATTTAGCCTGATTCAGAGAAATAAAAATTTCTTATTGATTTTTCTGCCTCTAACACAAAATCGCAGACAAGATAAATAACCAGCAGCCTAATTTTTTTTTTTTGAGATTCTCTCTTTTCTTGAAGAAAAGTGATATAACTGTGCGTGTGTGTGTCTGCGTTGCGTCGCTAGTCAGACAACAAGGCACCGAAATTCTTTAAGTTCTGATGCTGAGAATTTTTAAGTAAGACGACAGTTCTTATAAACAAATCACAGCACCTGCCCTCCCCGTGCGCTTAAAAATGTGGGGGCACACAAAGAAATATGGTCCGTGTCTTTTCCAGATTATTCTGGAAGGTACCGTGGCCGCACATGACCAAAGGCGGCATCTCTGCAGCTTATTTAAATGCCCCCTCCCCCTACCCCACCTCCCCGGCATTCCTTCTCTCACACCCTGGATTCCCTCCACCAGACCCACACAGGAAGCCATCTTGTGGCTGTATCTGAGCGTGCTCCTAGCTCTCCTCTGCCCTTGCCTACTCCCCTTTTTTTGCGCATTCAGCACGACACACAGCAGCAACGGTCTTGGGCAAATTGCATTTTCAGCCGGTTTTGACATCAGCTTGTCCTCCTGGGGATAAAGCGTAGACACGATCGCAAGGTGCGGTTCCTCTCGCCAATGTTGACGATCCGCTCAGTGTGCTGTAGTCCTTGGAATTAGCGCTGCATTACCTCATACGGTTGTCCACCGGGTTGTGTCCTAAGAGGATTTGATGTAGTAACAGAAAGAAGTTTATGTAATTAGAGGTGGAACTAGGAAGGAAAGATATTTTAGGTGAGGTCTGTGGTAGTTTACCGTGGGCCTGTTCAGATCTGGCTCATAAATTAAATGAAAATGAGATTTAAGTAATTCCCAAATATAGGAGAGTTATCAAATGTAACTTAAATGCATAATTATGAGATTTGATGTCTGAGCTAATTCTGTATATCAAGTTATTAAGAAGGAACCTCTACCCTTATAAAATCTTTTATTTTTTCAATAGATGTCCCCAAGGTGTCACTCAAGGAAAGCAAAAGGGAAGATTATGTCAACTTTTGGTTGATCAAAAAGTTACGAATTACAACTTACCCTCCCTTTCTTTCGACTTTCAGGATCTCGATTTCTCATTACATCCACGGGAGCCTTGTATATTCTGGATGTACAGAATGAGGATGGATTGTATAACTACCGCTGCATCACACGGCATCGCTACACCGGCGAAACCAGGCAAAGCAACAGTGCCCGCCTCTTTGTCTCAGGTGAGACCAGTGTGACAAAAATCCATTGGGTGAAAGCTGGAGCGATGGTCATGATTGGTCGGCCCCATGGAAACCCCCTTGTTCCACAGTTGACCATATATATAACGTATCTGTTCCTTTCCACCGCCGGATCCTCAATCCCAAGACCCGACAAACTCCGAGCCGGTGATCCTGGATGGCTTTGACCGGCGTGAGGTCATGGCTTCCCACAGAGTGGAGCTTCCCTGCAAGGCATCAGGGCACCCAGCCCCCAAGTACCGCTGGCTGAAAGACAACAGCCCCCTGGAGCCGGACACCCGCTTCCGGCAGAGCGTGACGGGCTTGGTGATCGAGAGCACGCGGCCCTCCGACACCGGCACCTACGTGTGCGAGGTGTGGAACAGCTACGGCAACGCCGAGGTTATCGGGCGCCTGCTGGTGAAACGTGAGTGAACAGTCCGGGCTTCTTCCCCATGTGTCCCCCAAGTCCTCGAAGCATCTGAGCCACAACCTACTATGTCCCAACACCATCCTCTGCTCTTCAAGTGTGTGTCTATCCATTAAAGGAATTAACGGAATAATGAAAACTTTAGTTACTCATTGTCATTATGTATATCTCAACGGCAACTGAGACCTCTGAACAGGCATAAACATCTGCCAGTAATTGCATTTAATGTAACACGTTGCAATTTTGTTGCAAGATGCCACAAAGTGCTTCTTTTCAAAGGGAATCAAAAAGCACAAATACGAAGTATTTCGACTATAATGAGGTTGTCCACCTCTGAGTACTTGATCGGTAGATTGGCTTCTTTCTTTATGAAGGATGTTGACAATGCTTCTGTCATTGCTTTGCCTTATCCTTCACTGGTAATTCAGCATACCTGTTAATGGCTGGTCAGGCAAAAAAAAGCAACAATGTTCAGCCAATTAACAACGCTCTTTCATTGTTTTTTTTTTCCAAACAAAAGAATGGCTCAAAGAATGGAAACATTAAACAGAAATCAATAAAACTCTTGTAGGAACAGTGACACAATGAAAATGGAATCTACTTCTAATGTTCCATAGCATAATAATTAACTGAAAATTGGCTTAACAGGTTAATAATGGTTATACTTTGTTCCAAAATATTTTCCCCCAATCAAAGCTGAATTTGGTTATTTTATTTATTTTCTGGTCTTGTTGTCAGGTCTGGGGCAAAGACCGCAGCACCTTTTTCCACTAATCATTTTTTTCCACCCAATGGACTAGACGCTCAAACTCTATCAAATGCTACTCAGTGGCTGACAGATGAAGGTAACCGATAAAGTCTTGATTAATTACATACTGAAGCATGTTTTAGTGAAGGTAGTGCTAGCTGGACAGCACTACTCTGACGGCCCTGAGATATCGCAGCATCTTCTTCAGCCCTGTGTAGCTTTGGAGGTTGCAGCTGCCTGCCCACCAAACGATAGCTATCATGTGGAAAGCTGTGGCATTAGCAAAATGAATGTATCGTCAATAAATCGAATTGATTAGCTCGGCGAGAAAAATATCTGATAAACAGACAATGAAGGACACGTAGATACCCATTCCGCCAAATCACTAATAGCGTTAAATTAAGGAAGTCATTTATAACGTGCACCTCAGTTTATTTAAAAGTATCTAGTGACCACAAATCATATCTAATTATTGAGTTAACTTTGCGTTTAAATGGGAAATCACTTGGAAAATAAGACACGGAACAGAAAATAATGGCAATGACCATTTTCTAATTTTCTTCAAACTTTGTGGAAACTTTTCAGAATTTTGTGTTTCGAGAGGAGTACAAGAGCAGAAACACAAAACAGAGGTTATGCTTGGAACAAACCAGTTGGGTGATGATGTTTTTGTGTCATTGTCATACGTAAGGGATGCTTTGTGTTATTAGTGGCCCTGCCCTGGTTTCTGTGGTGAGTCATCTTGACGCTGTGCTGTTTCAGAGCCCCTGAAGGCAGTGATAAGTCCACGCAAGGTGAAGGGCAGCGTGGGAAGTCAGGTGTCCCTTTCCTGCAGCGTGACCGGCTCAGATGAGTACGAGCTCTCGTGGTATCGCAATGGGGAGGTCATCTACCCAGGCAACAACGTGCGGATCACCGGCAACAGCCGTGAGAACTTGGTGATGGAAGGCATGGCCAAGAGCGACGGGGGTGCCTACCAGTGCTTCGCGAGGAACGGCAAGATGTCCGCCCAGGACTTTGTGCAAGTCATCTTGGAAGGCGAGTATCTGTAACACGGGCCTTAAAATTAACCTGTGGGTTTTAAGGCTAATATGGTTGCCTGCTTATGCTGTGAAATACTCAACAGCATGCATGGGTGAGTTTAATTGTTGCGCAACAACAAAACATCTTTGGGTAAAGTGGGGACTCCTCAGAGGACACAGGCCAAAAACAGGGGAAATTGGCGGCTTCTCTCCTACTATGCAATGCATCCTCCAGACCCCATCAGATAATGTCTTAATATATCAGTAATATGTTAAATTATTACATTTTGAATTGTAAAGAAATATACGAAGAAATTATATCAGGGTCAGTTTCAAACGGTTTTATCATATTGGTTTGAGTGGACGTTACCAGTTTCGCCATCTTCTTGAGTGGAAGGTACTGTACTAACAGAAAAGAGAAAAAGGGTGTCACTTTTTACATCATTTATGTCCATTCCCTAATATAAATGTTTCAAGTAAAACGTTTTTAGTTAAGATTGCCGCTTTAGTAGATAATGGATTTAGAGTTTTTTTCCCCCAGCAGCCTGAATATCACTTTCCATCGTGTTAGTCTGCTGTAATGTTACTTTAAATAACAGCCAGTCCATTCATGGTATTATCCTCCAGGAAGTGACATCATTTATGGTGGGAAAACAACAGCGCACAGATAGTAAGAGGAGATTTTATTTCCTGGTTTTAGTTTTAGTCTCACTCCACCACAGTCCCCCCAATTAGGTCAAATTATAGAATTTAGCAATGCAATATCAAAATTTTAAATTAAAAGATTAAAAAATATATCAAAAGTAACTGCATGTGCTTATGTTAGCTCACTGTTGATTTCTCACAGTAACGAAGCTCAATTTCCAATCTGTTATATGCCAAGGATAGAATTATCCTCCAAACCAAAATGGTGAAGCAACTTAAAATTGATCTTAAGTCAATTTGTCATCTTTAAAACGTAAGGATTTAACATTTTACCAGTATATTAAGGCATATTTGGCACTGCATAATGTCAATGACCTTGCATCTGTAAATTGCTCATAGTGTGTGTGTGTGTGTGTGTGTGTGTGTGTGTGTGTGTGTGGATTAGGTTTATATTATTTTGTGGGGACCAAATGTCCCCCACAATGTAATAAAAACCTATTTTTTGATGTTGTAAGGACCATTTTTCGGGTCTCCAAAAAGATCTGTCACTGCAACCAAAAGAGTAAAAATTCCAAAATATTATTTGGTTGCTTCCAGATAAGATTGGGGCTGGGTGGGGGCTAAGACTGTCATACTTAAGATTAGGGATATGCCCATAGCAATGAATAGAGAGTCCCCACAAAGATATGAATATGTGGTCTGTGTGTGTGCGTGTGTCCTATGGTGGACTGGCATCCTTTCCAGTGGTCGCACTCTGCGACCCTGTACTGGATAAGTGACTAGAAGATGGATGGATGGATAAAAGTTGAATTACCCAGCATGCTTTGAGTCAGCTCCTGCTTGCACTAGCCTGCCTATTAGAATATCAAACCGTGAGCGATCCGGAGACACGCCCTTTCTCAGGAGGTGCTGAGATGCTGTTCTCTGAGGTTTCCAAGCAGTCTGCTCTCTGGCGCGTCATGTCATGTGTGCTCTTGCGAGAGCGTGCCGTGACTGTGCAATCGGGAACGAGGCAATCAATCTTCATGGGGCCCATGCACTAATGAGGCCTGTAATGCAGTCATGGTGTGGCTACTATTATTAGAAATCCTACCCCCCAGCATTGCTTACCTGAGCCTGGTTGCCAGGGCAACTGTCTCCAGTGGCCACAGAACTGTGGAAAGGAGGTATTGATAATCTATAATCGAGAGGGTGAGTTATCGGGGAGCTGCAGTGGGTGAGATTTCAAAGACCGCTTCCCCCACACTGGGGGGGGGGGACAGATAGCAGTGGTTTTCATCTAGCTAAGAGCCCCCCCCGAGTACCGTAAAAAGAGATGAAAGAAAATGGGGCAAACGTACAGCTGAATCGACGTGCCGCAGATGTTGGGTTTTCTGTTCCAAGCACGAAAGGGGCGGGGGGGGGGGTCGTGACGTGCTTGTGAGCTAGAGCATGCGACAGGAGTGGCCCCCGCATCGCGCGACTTGAAAGAACCCGTATCCTCCACCGCGCAGGCCGCTCATTTCGCTAAAAGCATGGAAACAACTCCTACCCCCCCTCACATACACACTCGTCCAAACTCACACACAGGCACCTGTTGGGGGGGGGGGGGTGGGTGGGCTGTGTGGTTCGCACCTGTTTGTCCCCATCTGGCGTGGCGCTGCGCGTCTCACTCAGCGACGTTCTCTCAGCGGCTGCCATAGCGATGCATCAGCCCGCCACCCAAACAGGATCGCCGCAGACAGGTGCATGTGGAACCTCAGCATGTTTTTGGACTGTGGTGGGGAAACCGGAGTACCCAGAGGAAACCCCACAATGACACGGGGAGAACATGCAAACTCCACACATATGGAGCCATGGCGGAGACTTGAAGTTGGTCCCAGAGCTTTGAGGCAACAGTGCTAACCACTGTACCACAGTGCCACCCTTTTAGATATTGCATCTACTTTTTATTTGTTTACCTGTTGCTTTTATCCAAAGTGACGTATGATTTTGAGGAAGTAGGATCAGACAGTCCCTGGAGTAATCAGGGTTAAGGGCAAGATGGGCAATTGGATTTGAACCAATGACCTTCCAATCACAGCATGCTAACCCGTGCAGCCATGTGCTGTGTATTTGCCAGTGGTGCACGCAGCTAAACGAAAAGTTCACTTCTATAGCCGCTAATCTGCTATCTCAAAAGTTTAATTCAATAATGCTGACAAACCACAAAAAAATTTTGTAGAAGCTAATGATAACTGCTAACATCTACTTTTTCTTATATGAATTTAGCTTCGGTTTGGGTTTTGACATTGAAACACTTAAAAACATACATAGGGCACTAAAATTTTAACCTGTTTAACACTGAAAACCCATCTGTTAGGCTGGAGTGATTGCCAGGGGCTGTTTAGGACTTACCCAATGGATTCTTTAGAGTCTCTGGAATAAATCTGCATTTAAATATTCTTTCTGTGATATTCCGTTTGTGAGATATAAGCGCTATTGTCTGAGAAGCCCTATTTCACAACTGGCCCATGCTGACATTTAGCCATTAGGGGACTACAAACATGGCGGCGTTTACTTGGGTCCCAGCTCTTTATTGGTCTATAGCTCTGTCGGTCAGACCACAGAAAACACAACAGGGGGCCTGTTATCCGGCTAAGCAAGAAATCCAGCTTCGTGATATAGGCTGCTGTCCTCCGCTTACTTTAGGGTACGCGGTTTAAATGCCCTGCCCAATGCTGGTATTTGTGTACAATGTAAACTTATACAGCATGAATGAAAGTACAGAAATGATTTCTCGCTGCATAGTATACCAGTACAAGAAGGTGGGTGTAGGGGGATGTTCCAAGCAGGGTGACGTCTGTGTTCCAGATAATATAAAATATATTTCCGTGTTCCTGTCCCAAATCCGGTTGACAGAACCCAACACCTGATTGGTTTTCCAGTTGTGCTTCTGTTGCTCTGAGCCTAAACTAGGCTCTCGTTCTCCTTCCCGCCCATCGCTTTGTTAAAAGCCCACAGAGCTTCTCCCCTTTCCTTTGTCACATGGCTCTGTTTGATGTCCCACCCTGAGCAAAGTCTTACAAACCACAGACTTCGATACCAATTAAACAAACTGAGCATTGGAACCTACAGCCTTCTTGTCAGAAGATCAGTCCCGGCAGCACTCTGATGATGTCACGACCTCCTCTGCAGATGGCACCCCCAAGATCCTGTCAGCCTTCAGCGAGAAGGTGGTGAGCCCCAACGAGCCGGTATCTCTGGTGTGCAATGTCAAGGGTACGCCGATGCCCACCGTCTCCTGGACCCTGGATGACGAGCCGGTGGTGAAGGACAGCAACCACCGAATGGGCCAGTTCATCACCATGGAAGGCAACGTGCTCAGCTACCTGAACATCTCGAACACCCAGGTCCGGGACGGTGGGGTTTACCGCTGCACCTGCAACAACTCGGCGGGAGTGGTCACCTACCAGGCTCGAATAAACGTAAGAGGTGCTTGTCAGATCAGCTCCTCCAAAAACACACACATAACTCATTTTAGTTCTTAAAGTTCATGCATGTCTTTTGAGTATCCTCAGGAAATGCCTAACTAACCTTTACTTGAGCTCATTCCAGGATCGCATTGGTTCTTTTTTTCAGTTCTGTTTCTTTGGTTTTTCCTGGTAAATTCAGTTGTAGGGTTTGACCCCCATCGTTTGATTTCGTCTGTCCTTTTGCCATGTTTTCCTCCTTTTGTTGGATTCGGATATACGTACGCTATCTTCCTCCGTCCAAACGTCCCTTTCTGTTTGCTGATGTCTTCCTGTCCTGCCATTGTGTGCTTCCACCTCTCATCACTCTATGTCCACGTCTCCCCTCCCTCTCAGATATGCCAGTCAATATTTTTCTTGTACCGTTGCAAACAGCTACCCCTCTACTTGCATTCAGGGGTGTATACAGGGGCTGGACTACAGGGGCACTGGCCCCAATTGAAAGGTGATTGGCCTTCGGAGTGCCCCCTCCCCTGTCACTCAACGATTCAAATCATCTCATTGGCTAATAATAAAGTTGGCTCCTCTGTATGAATTTTGGCCCCTCTTATGCCCCCACGTATACCACAAACCTAGAATCACTCCTGCCTGCATTCTATGATCTAAACCTCGTTTTCTACTCATGAGATAAAAGGGGATTAAACGGGCCTGATTTAAAAGGAGACCCTATTGTGCAGCATTGTACATTCACAGACATATTGTAAGTTTATGGCAATGTGTACTTTTTAAGAAAACTCTGCCCCCTTTAGCTTGGGATTTATTGGCCTACAGGCTCATAACTGCAGCATCATTAGCCTCCTTGCATTTCTTTCAAATTTTAGTTGCACCCCATCCCAGTTTCTTGCCATGTCGTTATCTGTTTTTTAGTACGCATGCCTGTCAGTACTGGCCTGCTTGCATGGTCTCTCTCACACTTGTTTTTCATATATTTCTGTTTGCAGGACAAATGACACCCATAGCCTGTGTAAAAAAAAAACAAAAAAACAAACCTTATTTCATCCCAAAAAAACATTGCATTTTCATTTTAGACTGAGTGTTCCAGTGTGTACTGTACATAGTCCTGAGTATGAGCCTGTGGGTGTGTATGTGTGTGTTTGTGTCAGTGTGTGTATCTCTATTAGTCTACAGGTCTTGTTTATTGATCTGGGTGCTACTGTATACACGCTTCTCCGGGTCGGAGCCGCTTTGTCATCCCGGCTCCATTTCCCGCCTGATTCTTACGGATCTCTCTTCAGCGACGCGGGCGCCGCAGTCCTTAATGTGATGCCTTTCTATCGATTTGTTTGTATTATTTCGTCGGATGCAGCTCCTGATCTTCACAGCGCCGGGTGCAACCTGAGCCATCTTGGCTGAATCCTTACGCCGAGCGCCGATGTTGCACATGTGCCTCGCCATGCATGTATGTTAACGATATGGTGCCTCATTCAGGCGGTGCCTCGTGTTCTGTGTTTACCGTGGTCACATGACCTTTCTGTCCATACACCCGTCTACATACTATATGGATCGTTTTTACATAATTGGCTCTTGATTCTGAAGCAGGTGTAAGTGAAGGTGGCCTGTCACATTTCTGGCTCAGGTTGTATGATACAAATCTCTTTCTGCTTTTATGGTATAATATTTTAATATGTGCCTTCTTGTACAGACGAACATAAACAGTGAAGAATCCTGTGCCTTGAGTTTTACTTGCCAAAAAAAGAAGTTTTCTATTTTTCCTTCATTTAATGTACATATCATGACTTTTTTTTCAATGTCATGTTTTAAACAGCTCTTTTCTTGCTGATTTTCAGAGGTCATGGTATTGAAATTAATGATTCTTTTTTTTATTAATGAATGGTATATAGCAGGGTTAATCAAATCACGGTCCTCGAGGTCCGAGCACTGCTGGTTTTCCAGCTTTCCTTTACCTATGAGCCAGGTGTGAAGCCTCTAGCCAATCAGAATCAGTAATTATTAAACTAACTACCTGGGAGAACTGAAAACAAGGCCTGGATTTGGAATCGAGGTCCGGATTTGAAGAGCCCTGGTATATAGGCAGGTTGTCTTACAGAAACTGCGCTTACCTCAAAGTCAGTCTTATTTATTCATTCTTCTGTTTATGTCTGATTATTTCCTGTCACAGGTTTTCCCCTCCACTGCATCATCTCAGATACCAGTTTCTCTCCACACAACACGACTGGAGGAGAGTATATATTATTAACTTAGTTCTGCTCGCAGCTGACAATAAGAACATTGGTCAGTAAGCATGGAATTGTGGGAGGGAGCCAGTGTGCGATCAAACACGCATCCTATTTCTCGGACCACTACAAAACTGGGAAAGAACCTTCAATATGTGTATTTTAAGCTTCCTATTATTCAGCGCAGTGTGTATTAATTTAACATTATATTTTAATCATGACAAAGACAATTTAGCTCAGTTTTATGTAAAACTTTTTGCCATAATCTTTGTCTTCCTTCATACGACCTCATCACCGGAATACTGATCCTAACGATCAAGTTTTTAATTAGCAGAAAGTTAAACACAATCAATTATTACAGTTACCGATTCTCCACTGCCAAACCACTGCAAAGCCTGGTCCCTGGCTGACACTGAGTAAGCAGAGGCAGACCAGAGCCCCCCAGAAATGTAACTGCCCCCTCCCTTGATTTTCATTGGCTCGGACTGATGTCCGTCATAGAGTGCTCTTCCCAAAACACATGTATATGACTATAATTTTAGTAGTATCCAGATCATAGCCATAGTTACTGTGTATATTAAGAATATATATTTTTATCATTTTGTGCCACCACTGCACCAGACCAGTGTTAATATATTTTCATCGGAATTATTTCAAGTGTAATAGTGACCACTCGCATTGTCGCACTTGCAGTGAAGCACACCCTACATTCCAGTTGCTTCATCATTTCCAGTTACAAAAACAAAGAAGCAGTGGGATTGGAGCACTGGAAGGGTGGCTTGCAGTTGTGTCTCTCACATGCCTTCATGTGCATTGATATCAGTGAATCAAGGGTAGACATTTGGACCAAAAAAATAAGGAAGGCAAACCCTCAAGCTTGATAAGGTGTTTGATAAGGTGCCTTGCAGGTAACATGGTTATTTCTCGTGTTCAGAGCGGGTCGGATTCCTGCTATCTTTTGGTGTATGAAGCCTTCTCATGCCTTCCAGGTGTTTTCGTGTGTAACTGAGGACTCTGATTAGCTTATGGAGCATCTCTGCATGAGAGGCCTTCGCCTCACTGGTGTTCCACCAAACATCCAAAATGGCCAAACCATCCATCATACTTCCAGAACTTTCCACGATCACCTCCAGATCGTCGCCTGAAAATGTCCAGATATTTTGTTATTCTTTTTTATTCAGCTTCAGCAACTGATGTGAAATATTATATAGTTTCATACAGTATATAATTTCATTTTCATAAAAAGGGAAAAACACGTGTTTGTAAATATTATCTAAGAAAGCTCTGAAATATTACCACATAATACTCATTTCAAATGAATAGCGTTAATTGAAGATTTTTTTTCCATTTTCCCTCCAAGAATACTGCTTATTTAATCGCTTTGCCATACATACTGTATATGGTAGGTACTGTATTTGACAATATATTGACTTTACAGAACGCAGTGGCTCATTGCTGCCTAACTGTAATGTGAGATTTTGGTTTCTATCATGACAGGTGGCATATTGACCTTTATCCTGCAGCTTTTGCATCCTAGTGTTTTTTTTTTTTTACAGAGTCGACCAGGAGGTCCAAAGGAAAACAGTAACTTATTTATTTATAGAGCCGGACTCAGCTACTCAGCTTGCCTATCGACTCCCCCTCCTCATAATAATTTTAAAGAGTGTTTCTCTTTTCCTGTTTCAGGGCCTGCCAGCATCCGCCCAATGAAAAACCTCACAGCCATAGCTGGGCGGGACACCTACATCCACTGCCGTGTCATTGGCTACCCGTACTACTCCATCAAGTGGTACAAGAACTCCAACCTGCTGCCCTTCAACCACCGGCAGCGGGCCTTCGAGAACAACGGCACGCTAAAGCTGTCCGACGTGCAGAAGGACGTGGATGAGGGCGAGTACACCTGTTACGTGCTGGTGAAGCCCCGACTGGAAACCAGTCAGAGCGTCTACGTCACCGTCAAAGGTGAGCCTTGCATCCTGGACCTTCTTTACGTTTTGGTCTCCTACTGCAGTACAAAAACACATGGTTTATGATGAATCTCTGTCTCTTAATTGCCCAAAGAGTGATTGTGTGTCCTGTGTTCTGGGGAGTAGTGATCTATTCCAGGCCCCCTGAGAAAATGTCACCTTGGGGCCCCCTGAGAAAATGTCACCTTGGGGCCCCCTGAGAAAATGTCACCTTGGGGCCCCCTGAGAAAATGTCTCCTTGGGGCCCCCTGAGAAAATGTCACCTTGGGGCCCCCTGAGAAAATGTCACCTTGGGACCCCCTGAGAAAATGTCTCCTTGGGGCCCCCTGAGAAAATGTCACCTTGGGGCCCCCTGACAAAATGTCTCCTTGGGGACCCCTGAGAAAATGTCACCTTGGGGCCCCCTAACAAAATGTCACCTTGGGGCCCCTTGACAAAATGTCACCTTGGGGCCCCCTGAGAAAACGTCTCCTTGGGGCCCCCTGACAAAATGTCACCTTGGGGCCCCCTGAGAAAATGTCTCCTTGGGGCCCCCTGACAAAATGCCTCCTCTGGGCCCCCCACCTACCTTACATTATATAATTTTATAATTTAACATTTTTTTTATGTGTTCTTTTTATTCTCTTGGCTTTTTAGACATTGTGTTAGTTCGAAACACCTGTCTGTTACTCAGAATCCAAGTTCCTCAGAATCCACGCTGTTTCATCGGAATAATTCACAATACAAATAATGAAATAAAAATAACACGGGGTCAGATTAGTGAACACTGGCCCTTTCTGCATGGCATCAATGCCCTTCTTGTAGATCATCCGGCTGCTGCCATGAATGATGGTCCTTCTCTCTCTCTCTCAGTCTTTCTCTCCCTCTCTTCCTCTCTTTTTTAAAATATGAGGAGGTGAAAGCACCGGGAAACAGCACCATGTCTCCATCACGACCGGGCCTGTTAATTAGCTCTGCTGATGCTTACAATTCTGAAGCAGTTTAGGAAATCCCTCGAGTCCATTATCCCTACTTTGTTGTGAATTAAATATGTGCTGGAGAATTACTTATTACATTGTTATTTTAACTCAGTGGTTTGCAAAAAAAAAAAAAAAAAACGCCTGATTTTCTCACTGGCTGTGGAGTGTCTGGATAGCAAGTAGATAAAATCTGTTCCGACCGTAGATCTTTAAGTGGTATTTATTATTGTTTCTCATTCTCGTTTGCGTGGTTCTATTTGGTGCCGTCCTGTCTAGGTTAGTGCGTGGAATGATGGCAGAAAGCAACATGAAGCAGTTTTAATGAGCTGTAATCTTTCGAAAATTTGTGCCAAGTGAAATTTTTTTATGATTAGGGCTAATTTAAGAGCAAATTTCCAAAACTCACTCTGTCCATTTTTTATTGTTTGTGAAATGAAACCGCCGGTGACCTAGAATCAGGCTTCTTCATCATATAATTGGCCTTTCAATTAGAGTAAGATGTCTATACAGACGCTCCCAGGTTGCGATGGTCTGTTACGATATTACGATTTTACGAAGGGTATTCCAATTCCATTCTGTTTCTCCATTTTCAGTACATTATTCAATAAATTACATGAGATATTCAGAACTTTATTATAAAATATCCTTTATGTTAATGATTTTGCCCAACTGTAGGCTAATGTAAGTGTTCTAAGCATGTTTAAGGTGGGATAGCCTAGGCTATGATGTTTGTTAGGATAGGTGTACTGAATGTATTAAAATGCATTTTCACCTATATATTTTTGCCTTAGGTTTATCAAAACGTAACCCCATCGTAACCCGGGGAGCGTTGGTGTATAATTGTTGTATAAGGAGATGCATTTGCTTTTGTATGTGTAACTTTCTACGTGTAAGTTTGTACATGCACAACATACTGATCATTGACACAAGAATCATTGACATTAAAGTTGACAATGTAACTTCACCATTAATGTGAAGCAGTTTAGTAGACACTGTTTTTTGTGTGATGTCTGGTATCACAAATATTGTAACAATGCTGGTTATACTATTATTATAATCAATGTAATTATTTATAAATGGTTGTCCACCCACATGGCAGCTATGTCTAATGAAAAATCAACACTGATCAGAATAGCAGAAACCACTGATCTTATGGTTTTGTCCAAGTGCTATGCTTATTTGAAACATGACACTGCTCCTCTCTCCTACACCCCAATTAGTGCCCCCCTTCATCCAGCCCTTCGAGTTCCCACGCTTCTCCATTGGCCAGCGGGTCTTCATCCCCTGCGTGGTGGTGTCCGGCGACCTGCCCATCTTCATCACCTGGCAGAAAGACGGCCGGCCAATCCCAGCCAGCCTGGGTGTCACCATCGACAACGGCAACTACACCTGCATCGCTCGCAACGACGCCGCGGCTGTGGAACACCAGAGCCAGCTCATTGTCCGAGGTGAGCGCTGTCATAAACCCTACCAGCACAGCTACTCCAGTCTGTACCAACAGAACGCAATGCCAGCAAAGCACCAAAAAAAATCCCTTTCATCCTTCCCTAGTTCCTCCAAGGTTTGTGGTGCAACCAAGAGACCAGGATGGAATTTACGGAAAAGCTGTGATCCTGAACTGCTCGGCAGAAGGCTACCCTGTCCCGACGATAGTGTGGAAGTATTCCAAAGGTAAATAAATCCTCGAACACTTCTCTTCTCTCTGATACAGGCCTCATTTCCTCCCAACTAACCGAGAATGGGGGTGTGTTTGGAGTAACGATATATCGGAGGCAAAGGATGTGTGGCTGGTTGGTTTCTTCTGGAGGAACTTGACTCTACAGAAAGCAGAGGGATTTACCAGAGGCTTGATTTGTAGAAGATGATGGGTTGACCTAATTTCGTTGAACGCCCCGTGAACCGGCTGACGTTTCATTGAGCGCCGGCAAGGGAACAAACGGAAGAGCTCAGCACATCTCTGGTTTCGGCCCACACTGTGCCTCATCATACGTATGGGGTATTCCTCATTGAAGCACGGAGCGGATCAGTGCTGAAGAAGGAGCCTAGTTTTTTGTTTAGCCCGATTCTGACTCTGATTCTGATTGGAGTTTATCGACATGGAAGACCGAAGGGATGTAGAGGTTTGACCCACCCTTGAGTGGGCACTGAGAAAGTGGGGTTATCCGTCATGTTTCTGCAAGGACCGTGAGCTACAATAGCATCGTTTCAAAGGGCTCCCATCTGTTTGAATCAGTGTCGTGAGTTTGCGCAAAGCTTCCAGCCTATGGATGGAAATGAACAATGGATCAGGTGCTTGAAGGGGAAGCTGGGCCCATGATCAAAGTAAGAAGGACAAACATAGAATGGAGTCTAATATCAGGACATCTCTCCTTCACAAAATACTAGCTAGTTCCCTGGGACTCAGGGCCCCAATGACTGGCCACATACCTTGCAGGTAGATGCTGGGTCACTTGTCCTTCCCCGTCCTCTGCACTAGGGCCGTGTGGCCAATGAGAGACAGAACTAAGAAAAGCGTCCTACTGTATGTTGGAGTCCGGAGCAAGCAAATGCATCTCTCTTCAATGCACTCCTATTACAACTTCAGGGGGTAATTTGCGCCGGGAGAGAACAAAGTTCTAGCCATCATACTTGGTCTCTGGCCATTTACCAGAGACAGACCACCCAGGGTTTTCAGTCCACTCCAGTTTCTCACAGGCGCTATGAGAAACAGCTACGATTAAGACCTCACAGCTTAGTAGCACAGCGTTGACCAGGATGGAAGCCAATTCTGAAGATGTGCTGGTACTGCTTGCTTACAGAAATACTCTCTGATTTTTGTTCACTGTTGATACACTGAGTATATTGCACATTTCTCACTTGTACAGTATTGTACAGTATGTCCCTTGAGCTCAGGAAGTGTTTTAGCTCATTGAGTATTTAATTGCGCGGTGGCACAGTGGGTCACATTGTAGCCTCGCAAATGGGTAAACACTCTGTAGGGTACATGGCTGAACAAGAACACGAACTGCACAATAAGCACACATTTCAGGATTGTTTGGCCAACAGCGATGGGTTCGCTTCATAAGCCAACCTTCACAGATTGTGAACATGTTGGTAACTTCTTGAGAAGTTATCTTTGTAAATGCGTTCAGAGCCAAAGATGACTAAATAGCTATTGTTTTGCACACTGTAATGGATGAATAAGCATGTGCACATTTCCATTACTTATAAAGCATAACAACTGTAAACAAAAGCAAAGATACTAATATCTACATGGAAAACAAACTGAAGTACAGTGAGCCAGTGGTTGGTGCCTCACACCTCCAGGGCTTTTGATTTGATTCCTACCCCGGCTCTATGTCTGTGCCTGGAACTTGCATTTGTTCATATGCAGGTCCACCTTCACGTGGGTCTTCTCCAGTTACCTCCTGCAGAGCATGCACCCTGTGATGGACTGGCATCCTCTTCTGGGTGTCCCCCTACCCCATGTCCTGTGCATCCTGTGATAGGCTCCAGGCTGTCGGTGATCCCGTACAGCAGTGTTTCTCAACCCGGGACGCCCAGCCAGTACACCTTTTTGCTCCCTCACAGCTCCCCACCAGACAGTCCATATTTTTTCTCCCCGGGTGCTGGGAGGGAGCAAAAACATGGACTGGCTTGGAGTCCCGGGTTGAGAAACACTGCTGTTCAGGATCAGCAGTTATAGAAGGATGTTTAACAGCTGCAAATACTATTTAGCTTTTTAATTTAATATCCATGACCATAATACAGGGAATGCAGCTAAATATACATTTTATGAAATCTTTGCTTTTATATCGATTAATTCAGGAAATATAAAAGACGTAGGTAGAATTATAGGTAATGAAGTTGAAGCAGAGGAGCAAATACTTTCTAAAGTTTGTAGTATTTGATATTTGCCAGAGAGATTGTGGAATATATGACCTGACCAGGTCCAGTTCTGCTGACAGTCCCCCTTGGTGCCCCTCCCACCTTCCCAAACCCAGGTGCCGGGGTGCCCCAGTTCCAGCCCATCGCCCTGAACTCGGGCTTCCGCATCCAGCTGCTGGTAAACGGCTCGCTGCTCATCAAGCACGTGCTGGAGGAAGACAGCGGCTACTACCTGTGCAAGGTCAGCAACGACGTGGGAGCCGACGTCAGCAAGTCCATGTACCTCAACGTCAAAAGTAAGGCTCGCCTTCTGCACCGCGAGATGCTGGAGGGGGAGGGGAGGGGGGGGGGGGGTTACCTCAGTTCACAGCCAGCATCCTTCCAGAACCAGCATTTTACTTAAAGATGGGTAAAGGTGGAGTTTTAGTTTTCATCTATCACAGCCTTCCGGGTAACACTTTAGTGTTTTATACCAGCAGTGTGAACCTTGTGCAAAACATTGAATGTCTTCCTGTGGCGCATCAAGCTTTGTAACAGCAGATATTGTGAAGATCTTGTCTGCTGTGTGAGATCTTTAGGTAAAGATGACATCAGGCATTTCTTAGAAGTTTAAAGGAGGCTGTTTGACAGCTATCTGGCTTTTTCCATATAATAACATGGAATAGACTTCAGGACTCAGTTCCTGTCATTGGCTCAAATACTGTGTCTACCAGAGTGATGTCACCCCTGGGTCCTGGCTTAGAACCCTTAATTTGGCCTAGAACCCTTAATTACTCCAGGGACTGGCTGACCCTGTTCTCTAGCCTTCAGTTGTACATCGTTTTGGACAAAAGCATCTGTTAAATGAATATATTAGATTGCAATAAAATGATTGTAGTATTTTGCACTTAGGTATACAGTAGGTGTAACAGCAGAACCAGACATATTATTATGCTACGGACTGGGTTCATTAAGTAACGACACCCTTCAGCCAGGAATGGGGTTTTGCAGGAGTCAGAAAGGGGGCAAAAGTTGTGTGTCCCCCACCCCAGCCAGTGACCCTTGTGTGGCAGCATTTTTGCCTGGTTGAGTCCCGCAGGCCGTGAACTGTGCATGTACCTGTTCGGCACCCAAGGACTTATCTGCCCTTCATTAGACCCTGAACACTTCGTTTAAGCAGGGGCTGCCATGTGGAAACGTGAACACCAATGTGCGGCAGAGTCTCTCTCTCGCTTCATCTCTCTCTCGCTTCATCTCTCTCTCCTTCACCTGCTGCCTTCGTTTCCCATCCCCCCTTCACCGCCCCCTCTATGTATGCATGCCTCCGTCGTGACCTGCGCATTAGCCGCCTCCCCATTCCATTGGCTGATTGGGGGGTGCCTGCCAATGAGGATGAGCGGATGCAGACATCGGAGACCACGGGTCCTTCTTCTCAATGTCTCCTGTCTTCGAGTTTCTGGGGTAAAGCGTGGATTCATGGGGATTCCTGTTTTTGGTGAAAGACGCAAAAAATGACAGTATTGATGCAATATTAAGATCTCACAGATCAGGCCTTCATCATTAGCTTGCTGCCGATGTTGGCGAATCAGCTAGTCACTCACCCGTAGGCGCTTTCTTCAGGTTTATAACCATTATTGTAGATTTCCTCTCCTTTCCTCTCCTCTGCTCTCCTCTCCTCTTTTTTTCTTCTACTTTTTCTGTATAACAGCAGCTGCTCTTGTGGCTCTGCTGCTGTCCTTGTTGCTTTTTAAATGCTTTCAGACAATTACCTTTCAAAGAAAGCTATATAAAATAAAAAGCACAGAACTGAATATCGGGTTGTTTTTAGAAAATCTACGTCAGCATTGTTCTAATTCATGTAAAGGAGAGATGCGGCAGGAAATGTGCTTTTATTTTAGTTCTGGTCTCTCATCGTCATGGCCGCGAATTTTACTTTTTTACTTTATGAGTTACTGATGACGCTTTGGTAGGTCAGGTCGTTGAGAGCGCCCCCTGTCTCCATGCTTGGGAGTTACACGTGGAGGATTAAAATGGCCAGGCTGACCCGTTTTAATTAGGCACAGCCACGCGGCAGATGACTTTGGCGCTGCTAATTCCTTTTTTTGTCACGGATCGAATCGGGGGAAGGATTGATCGCGGGTGTGACTCAGCTAGACGGGGATCGTTCTGTTATTTCCGGAGAATGGGGCGAGGGCTGGGGGGGGGAGGGTCAGGCCAGCAAACAACAAACTCTGTTGGGTAGGTGTTTTTTTTTTTTTTTTTGGTCCTTCATCCAATCGGCTTGCTGGGCCCCCACGCACAGAAATACACAGGACGTGGTGGCGTACCATAGTCCCGCCCAGCCCTCCAGTCATCCGGGGAATCCGCCTTATTATTTCCCCCCGCCCCCCAAACCCAGATTTGTCAAGCAGCATTAATCAAACTCCGGCATAATTTGCGTTTTTCTGCTGAGTCCGGTTCTGTCGCCACCACGCAGCATGCGTTTGGCCCCCTCCCCAACACTGCCACCGCCCCCCCCTCCCCCCACATTCTCATTTGATCGTGTTTAGATGTTGGGGGCTTATTTCCCTGCGCTGTTCTTATCAAGCCAGTGCAGGAGCAGCCCCCACTGAGCTGTGATTCGCCTGTGCCAACGCGGCCCCCGCCTGGCTCTGCGACACAAGGACACACGCACACACACAGACGCACGCGCACACACACAAACACACACACAGCAGCCTGCATGCTAATATAGTAGTAAACCCACATTCATGGTAAAATGTACACGTCGGATCAATTCATATTTAGTGTGATGCATATAGAAACACAGACACTAATGCGCTGGCACTTGCAGACCTATTCATACACACACAGTTAACTCAGTCACAGGCATGCAGTGCCTCATGCTAACCTTCCCGCTGTCGTTTCACTGCTAACCCTGTTCAGGCAGCGGAGACACTGACACACAGCCCAGAGTTGGACACTAACTGGGGCACAGTGCCTCCTAGTGGGCCCCGCCAATATACACCGTATTGCCTGCAGCCCCGAGACAGGAGTGGGCCGCTTGCGCCGTGAAGTGAAGGACCTCAAGGTTTCAGCACGCGGAGACATTTCCTGCAAATCGTCTTCAGCCTCTTTTTCATTTGTTGCTTATAGGGAGCAGAGTTAGTTATCCCTAGCTAACTAGTTCACCCATACAGCTAACTAGTTTACCCATACGTGTAATCGGTCTTGCTGAAATCCTTCCACACCAAAAATCTGAGTTGATAAACGGAGATGTCATCTATTTGGAGACAGGCACAGAGGAGGACAGCCCTGCCTTTTCCATAGAAAAACCTCTGGGGGCCTCAGAGATGAGCCCTTCTCCAGCGCTACCACCTGCTGCTGCCAGTCGCTCTGTTTTTGAGCCAAGAGATGCACCCCCATCCCCAGTGTGTTAGAACCTCCTCCCCAGGCCTGACGTGTTGTTTGTGGAGGCCTCCTTCAGCCCCTTGGGGGGGGCGCCCATGTTGACTATCACCAGGCTCAGTCTCCTCCCTTGGGGATCCACCCCGGATCAGGGTATCTGCGTGTGCATGTGCGCGTGTGTGTTTGTTTGCTGCAGGCTGTGATGCAGTAACGTCGCAAAAATAGTATGAGTTCACAGCAGAGGCTGAGGGTTCATGTTTTCAGAAACAGATTTAGGCTGAGTGCCTCTCTTTTTAATTACTAGAACATTTCACTTGTGGGGGCAGCGTGGTGGCTTAATGGGTAGCGGTGTTGACTCACCCCTCCAGGGTTGCAGGTTCACATTCTGCCCCCACCCTGTTTGTGTAGTCTGCTCTCCCTGGGGTGTGTGGATTTCCTGTGGGTACACCAGTTTCCATCTGCAGTCCAAAGACATGTAGGTGAGATGGCACTGCCCACAGTGTGTGGGTGCGTGCCCTGCGGTGGACTGGCATCATGTCCAGTCTGCTTTTCCGTCTCCTGCCCTATGCTGTGTATGACCCATGTGACACTGTACTGGTTGGAGGATAGGAAGGAAGCTGAGGCTCTCGGGTTTCATCAAAAGTGTGGAGTGAGATGACATTAAGGGCAACACGTGCACTTCAAGGTCCATGCGTGACACTTTAGAGTCCTGCCTACCGCGTTCATCCGATCTTCATCCACATCCACCTTTTCTGCTCTCCGTGTGTATGCGCATCCATGTAATAACGTGCTTGCGGCGGTATCACACGTAACTTATTTTGGAATTTATCCGGAAACAACAAATGCTATTTTACGATTGACTGGTAGGTGGCTATTAACTCAGTATAAGTTGGGACAGCTGTGAACTCGGCAGAGAACTGCACTCTGCATACCCGCGCTTGGTCCATTAATGCTGTATAACGGGACAGCTTGGTGGGCGTGTCGGTGTGAGAAACACAAGGTGTGGCATGTGGGCGTGTGAACTGGTTGAAATGCGTATGTCTCATGGTCAATGAACGTAGCTCTGAATGTACTTTTCTGAAGGATCAACTGCCTTATTCTAGCAAATATTCTCACAAAAGTGCCTTTTAAGTAAAACGTACTTCAGTATCCATCCATCCATCCATTTTCCGCCGCTTATCCGAGGTCGGGTCGCGGGGGCAGCAGTCTAAGCAGTAAATTCAGCAAAATAGTGAAGGTCATGTCAAAGCCAACATACAGGCTGATTGGCAGTCTGCATTAATATTGTTTTCCTCTCATAATCGCCAATTAAGCTAGGTAATACCAATAATGATAATTCTGCTTTCCAATAATTGTATTTGTAATATATGTTTACCTGTGTAAAAAAAAAAAAAACTATCCCACACCATATGAAACTAATTGTGGCGCCCCTGAAGGCAGTGTTTGGTACTGCAAGGTTGTCCAACAGGCAGAGCTAAAATTAAGCCGTATCTGAAGAAGGAGTTTAGCTCGCTATATTCTGGAACAGCAGCAGAAGAAAGCGTGTATGTTTTTTTTTTTTTTCCAGCACTCTGATTGGTCACCTCTGTGACCTATCCCTGCCAGCCTCTGTTGAGCACACTCCAGCTGAGCCCAATTGTGCAGCAAAGGGAATTGTTTCTGTATAGCGAGCGGCTCCAACCGACCAGTCATTTCCATGGCCCCTAAATGCTATTTATTCCAGCGGCCAGGCACTGTGGAATGGGCGCTACTGTAGGGACGGATCTTGTCTCTCTGGCGAGCCCCCGGCAGGGGCCTAGACTGCCTCTGCAGCGTGGCCTACATTCCCGGGCAGCCCGCAGCATGGTGACAAAACAGAGGGTGACATACGCTCGCTGCGAGCAGAGTGCTCACGCACCCCCGGTGCTGTGACACAGAGACACAGCCATAC